TTAATATAAAAATCTCTTGCAGAGAGGGCTTGTGAGTGGAACAAGCCAAGGTTGCCATGTCCAGGACCAGCAAAACCACTGAGCCAGGGCTTTCCAAGCCCAAAACCCCAGTATCTCATGGATAACAGTTACTGCTTTAGGAGAGAGAAGTGAAAAGCAGAACAAGTTAGTTGAAGGCCCTTCTATAAGAAGAGACGCAAAGTCAGGTAAGTCCCTCACAGATCTGGAAATCAGCAATAACGTGAAGAAAGCAGCCAAGGGGTACACCACCTGCCACCCTCAGAGGGTCACTGTTCAGCAAGCAGCCCAGGCAAGCTTGCAGAAAACAAACTTTTCCAGGGCCAGAAAAGGAAGGTGTGAGCTGCTTGTCACCCCACCCACCTGTACAAAAGGCACAAGGGACAGGAGTGCTCATTCAAATGTCTGGGTTTTTAAAGAAACAACCCATGAAAACATTTGAGGTTGTATTTAAAATCTGAGAAATAGTGGAGGCTCAAAACAAAACATATATTGCGAAACCCAAATATGGAGCTTGTGAGAGAAAGCCGAAAAGCAAAAGGTGGGCAGACAGGGTAGTGAACACGCACTGACTTGTCTCGGTCGGTCCTTAGGGAAGAACCACTGTGGGCACAACCCTTGGCATCTAAAGGAGGGGCCTTAGGGAATTAAAGACTCAAGTGTAAGTTAGAAAAAAAAAAAAACTGAAGAAAGACTTCCAAAGCCTCGAAACCTTACCACTTAAGATAATGACAGAAACTTATAACTGCTTCCTCTCTGGCAGAAAGGAGCACAGTCAGAGGTTGAAAACAACAGGCCCTTTGTAGCGGCCTGTTGTGCGTTGCTTATTCTATTACGAATTGGCTGGGAGATAAGAACAAACAAGACTACACCCCGTCTAACTCCAGGGAGAGGGGTGGGGCAACCTGGCTCCAGTCACTCCTGGGCATGTGTGTGCAGGGCGCCTGTTTGTAGTTGAGGTGGTTAGGAAACTCCATGCAGAGTCAGGAGCTGGGATAAGATGCAGACATCTTCCATTGCACAACCCAAACAAGTTGTGTTAATAAGGGACTTTACGGTATTTCTCCACCAAGAGCATTGAGAATATTTGAGTAATTATTTCTCTAAACTCTTTGTCAACAATATTTTTGTTCAATAAAAAAAAATCCTTAAAAACTTAAGACAAGTTCCCCTCTCTGCACCCTACTGTGTGAGCAAGGAATCACATATCAGCCAGCAGGTAAAGACAATGTGGCTTGGGATCATCTTCCTCCCTTGGCACTGGGGTAGGGTCTAGTCTAGGTGTCAGGTGCTGTGCTAGTTCCAGCAGTGGAGATTCTGCTCAACAACAACAGTTGCTAAGCCCTGGGCCTCTAGCTAGCAAGTCATGAGACAGTACAGCACCCATGATCCCAGGACAAAGCTAGTTTCTGTGGCTGTCCCATATCTCAGTGTATGTGCTTACCCTCATATGGCCGACCTGAGCCCACCCTAACAAAGCCACCCTCCCAACCCTCCAGTGTCCTTGGTTTTACTTTCTGCAGAGCACACATTTTCACTTTTGTGTATTCTGTTTTTCTCCCAGACTGGAATGTGTGTTCTCAGGAGAATGGCGATCTCACCAACCGCACTTGCCCTTGCAGGCTCCACAGTTTAAGTGCTGCACGCAGACAACATGCTTGGCAGACAGACAGAGAGACTGAACAGACAACACATAAGCTGGTGTGGAGCCAGCAGCAAGGAGGTCAGAGTCTGCTGGCCTCCTCAGCCAACCACGCTACCTCCACTTCCTCAGCTGGACAGAGGCAAGACTCACACATCAACAGTGAAGTTGAAACATAGGGCCACATAGCGTCTGATGGCATGAAACAAAGCCCTGGTCCTGAGATAATTTGCAGGATTCTTAAAATTCAAATATAGAGTGGCGTGTGGAGTACCAGGATATCAGCAAGGTAGTCTTGCTGCTTTGTGACACATAACTGAACTATAAAAGACAAAAAATGGCTAAAACCAGGACATAATTGTGATCTGCTGAGAGACAAATAGCAAAATAATTATGTAGAAAGGTAGGACTGGGGTGTTCATCTTAAGCAATGTTCATAAATCTAGTTCTAGGCTATCATTCCACTGACATCACTGATGCTATAGCAAGGTATGGAGTGTGACCAAGAGCATGCTTTGCATTCATTTCTCAGTGAGAAGAAGGTGGGCTAGCTGTTCCATCTGAACTAGAGACATGAGAATACATGGGGTCATCAACCAGAGGCATGAGAATGCATGGGGTCATAATGAAAATGGCAGAATATATCTCAACAGCAGGAGAGCTTTCTATACATGAGAAACTTACTTACAATGTACTCATATCTTTATGAATGCGTCATGTTACTCCAAAACATGCAGACGCATGTCCATGGAGGCAGAAATGAAATGAAACAAACCCAGAAAGCCCACATATCCCAAATAAACAAAAGATGGGATAAGGTGGGCCCTGGAAGACCGAGGGCAAGCTGGTCTCAGACAGGAGGGCAAGTGCCTTTCCTTCTGAGCAGTGAGTAGGGACAGGGCTGGGGTGAGATCAGGAAGCTTTCAAGTTGTAAAAATGTGCTTTTCTCAGTTCACTGGAGTCATCTATTTGGCTCAAAAGCAGACCTAAAAAAAGAGAGTTTTAAGGATTCTCATTCAAGCTATAATAAATAATGTTTAAAATGTTGTGTATTATCCAAACATATTTTAAATCCTTTAACACAGTTAATGATTTGCCTGTTTTTGTTCACATGGAAATGCTGAATGTCATTTGCCAATGCAGAATACTAAAATGGTACTCATTATAATTAAAACCTAATTGCTAAAGAAGCCCAGAGCTATGGAATTTATGATCCTGATACATGTTTATATAACAGGGACTCAGGAAAGAGTCAGTTAATTTACCAAGAAGTCCTTTGATTCTCCAGCATACTATAATGATCAGGACAGGTGAGTTTTGGTTTCTCATGATGGTACGTCATGGATTTGAGAGTCTCCCTATCCCTATTTGGAGCACAGAGTTGACCTCCATGCCTGCCATTTTTGCTCCAGCAGAGCCTTGAACATAGATAAGGCAGTAGGACCCCAGTAGCTGGCTGAGTCATCCAGGCACTCAGCTATATGTAGCTCAAGGTGTAGGGATCTGTAGCATCAAGTCCAGCAAGTGGAATCAATTTAAGTTAGAGTTTGAAAAAACAAAAGCCCACCCCAACTAGGAGTATGCAATGCCACAATCATCCTTCCACAGTTCAACTGCAAAGAACAGTAGCAAAGTACAGGAAACAACTTAACCAGAACAGATTATTTCCTGACTAATAAGGAAATGTAGGGTAGGGGTGGAGGCTCTATTTGAGAATTTTATACAGTTCTCCAGTTCTGAAGCTTAACAGCTCCCATGGTGGCTAAGTTGTTGCCACTACCCCAGTTTTGACATTTGTGCACAGAACCATTTGCCCTTCAGGTAATTAGGCTTATTACTTTAAAAATACAGCATTAAGAATGTTTGAATCATGCTAAATATCTCAAAAAGCAGAAATCTTACTATCTGCCTGCTTGGGTGTGCAGACTTGGTAGGAAAAGCTTGCAGAATGGTCTGCAGGTTAGCACATTCTACTTCTGGCAAACTGTGTCTCAAGAAGGAGCTATCAAGAGGTTCTATGCATGAAAAATACCTGGCCTTTGGTTTCCCCAGGATAGAACATGGAATTGTTAGCAAATATGTCCTGAAAAACAATGCTCATAAAGTGCTAAAACTCCCAAACAAAAATGACCCCTCAAAACAATATACAAGTGAGAAGCATTTAATGAACAACCTTTTCTTCACCAATAACTACTTAAATTAACCCCAGGAGACTCTTCAAAGGAACCAAAGAAGTCTCCTTGTTAAGACAAACTATATATAGACATCAAGACAATTATATGATGCATGCAACCACATATATATAATTATCCTAGCTTTTACATTCCCATTATCTTTATAAATACAGGATAAAAATCAGTCTAAACAATTTTCTGAGACCTCCTCAAGGATTATAGCAAGCCAGATATTGCTTAAAAAATGTGGTGTGGGGTGTGTGTGTGTGTAGTAAATATCAAAAGCAAATGTTTTGGACAGTTCTTTTCTACTCAAGGGTTTTACCAAGAATGTGTGCAGTGTTTTTGTTGTTGTTGTTGCTTTTTGGGGGGGAAGGGGAAACACCACAAATGACAGCTGTTCAAAAGCATGGAAATTAATTGGCAGCAAGAATTTCCTTGACTAATAGGGAAAAACTCAAAGCCACATGTCTGATGAGTTTGCTTTCCCACCCTAGTCAAGCATAGCCCTGTTAGTGATTAGGATTTGCAAACAGAAGTATAGTCAAGGTTCACATGCCATCATTCCTCTGTGGGACAACAGAGCTGCTCTCCCATCACTATCTGAACCGACAGAGGGGCTGACAGATGTGGCTGTAATTGACAGGGCAAAGGGTTAGCTAGCAAGTTTCTACCTTTTGTCAGAATCAGATGGAGGCACAGTAAGAATAATTCATTTACTGTATTAAAAATAGGAACAAGTTGTTACGTCCCAAACCCATGGTAAGCCATCTGCTTTTAGCTGTTTTTCCAGCAGTGTGGATGGATTCATGCTCTGACATGGGGCTCTCAAGTTGTAGCCTTGTGACCAATGGTGAGAATGGATGAGGCAGCTGGTCAGGATTAGGTGAACAGCTGTGGCCCTGGGACCAGGTTTTGTTACTGTGCTCAGAGCCTGACACCATGACCTTGGACTCATTAGCAGTAAGTTCTCATCACCCAAGCTAACAACAACTGATCAACCATGAAAAGTATCCCCTGAAGCTAGCAGTAAGATACCCAGGAGGGAACAAGAAACCCGTTCTATCTGAAGCCAATGAAACTGCTGACAGAGTTTAAGAAAAATATTCCCCTATTAGTTCCTAGACATCTGAAGCACTCTCTACATGCCATGCTGAGTAGCATACCTGGCCATCCCCAGACTTGGAAAGTTGGTGGGGACAATGAGTATGTCCAGCCTGGAGAAAGGGTGTGTTCCCAGGACAGTGTGTGCAGCTGAGAGGCAAGAAGGGATCAGCCACAGCAGGGCCTCTTGACAGGCACCCTCAAGGCACACTGGGGCAAACACTCGATAAGGAATGATGTCCTGGGTGGCAGTGGATGCACTCTGGAACCGACAGGGGTATTCCATATGACTACAGGTGTCATCATACCTGGGCAACACAGAAGAAGACAGTGGTTCAAACAGTCTTATTAGCAAAGGTGGTTCATTTCAAATATTGGCTTCTCTGCTTTTGGTCAGCAGTGAAAATTAGAGGTCAAATATTTATTTATGTGCATGAAGTGACCGAGTTACTTCAAACTAAGCTAATGAAAGTAAAGATCTTATTTTAGAATTATGGGGGTCAGAAGTGGGAAAGATTTGAAACAATAAAACAACCTCTCACCTAAATCAAAGCAAACTCTACACTCAGTCATGTGACTTCAAATACCATCATAGAGAAACTGCTCAAGTGACTGACAGTTCTGTGAGAGGGAGAGATGCAGTAGGTGTTTTATTTACTGACTTCATTGGGATCTCATAGAGCCCAGGTAGCTTTGAACTCAGGATATAGCTGAGGCTACCCTTTAACTTCTGATTCTTCTGCAACTATGTCTCAAGTCCTGGTATTATAGGTATGAGCTGCTATGTACATGGCTATAGGCAAATTAAAGATTCCATTCTAGAAAATCCTAGAATAAGTGACCTGGGGTGAGGTAGGACAATGAACCAATGGCAGTTATAGGTATAGTGTTAAAAAAAATCACAAGTAGCATTCAAAAAAAATCACAAACTATCTTATCAAAAAGTAACCTAGGAATTCTTCACAAAACTTGCCAGAGGCTTTTTTCACTATACTTTTGGGCTTTGGAGACAGGGTCACATTCATCCCAGGCTGGTTTTAAACTCCGACATAGATGAGAATGGCCTTGAACTCCTCATCATCTTGTCTCTATTTCCTGTATACTGGGATTACTTGCATATGCTTGGTTTACATAGTGCTGGGAATTAAACCCAGGGCTTCCTGCATGCTAGGAAAATACTCTACCAACTGAGCTATGTCTCCGGTCCCTTTCTAATGCACTTTCAGTATAAATTTACCGGAATCAACCTTCTAAGGAAGCAGAGCAGAATCCAGCTAGCCCCATCTGACATGTTACTCCCTGAAAGGAAAAGGCGGAACTGAAAGAAAATTCTTAGGGCCTGACTCACAGGCCTCAAGAGAACTTATATATCTAAAGAAACCAACATCAAAGAGAATTCTATTTTTTTTGTCTGTTAACATGCCCTCTATTTAGACACAATGGAAAAACCCTGTAACCTTAAATTGCAGATTATAATTCTAGCTGTGGGTGCTGCTGTGATTCATCACGGATACTGAAAGATCTCTAACTGCTTGCCTGCCTCAATTTGTGCAGGCTCCAACAATAATTCCTCTTTAGGTTTATGAAGTGTCTTCTACCCACCCAAGACCTGTGATCAGGAGATCCACACAGCTATGTATGTAAAAAAGCCTCACCTTCCACCATCATGCTTCAAGAATAACCAGCCCCAGTGAGGCCTGGTTATGGTTGGGGTGGGTAAAAGAAATGGAGACCCATAAAACTGCCAGGATAAAGTGACTGCAAGAATATAGTTACCAACACTGAACTCAAGCCAAAATCCTGGACTGATAGCATTACCTTATGGGAAAGAAAGCAAAGGTGTCTGCTTGTAAACATCCAACTAACAAGACTACAACATCCACCTAAAGACAGGAGCAAAGATGGCCAACCTGGTGAGCCTCTATGGAGTTTTAAACAGAAAACCACATCCTATGGTAATTTAAGCTCATATATTCTCTACTGAAAAGCTTTTACAAGCTGGCAGTTGACCATGTGTCCAAGGTAAGTTTGAGCTCCATGAGACCATCGGAAGCCAAGTGTGACAACAGCATGGACCAATATACCCAGAACTCCAGCACTCAGGAGGCTGGGGCAAGAATACTGTGGATTTGACACCAGCCTTGACTACATCACTTCTAGACCAGCTTGGGCTACATGTCACAACCTTGTCTCAAAAACCTGAAAAAAAAAGTGAGGGCCTTCAAAGCATACTACCTAAAGCTAGAACTCTCTGGACACAGTTAGGAAATAAGCTTAAGGTCTAAACATCATGATGGCATAGTGCAGGGAGGAATACTATCTAGAAATTGCTTATTCCCATGGAGTGAGATTATCTCTTACACCTAAGAAAACTCAAGGTTAGGGAACAGAGTGAAGGTGGCAATGGTACACCAAACAAGCCTGTTTGTTCAAGGGAAAAGATGAATCATTTTCTTTCCAGGCCTATATGAACACTCTCCAAACTAATGAGGATGATTACTGTTAGATGCATAACTTAATTTCGTCTTCTATAAAACTTAGGACTTAAAGGCAATCAAGCTATGGGAAAATTACATCAATGAGGCTCTTGATAGTGATAAACTGTATGAGGGGTGCCACTTGTGAGGTCTTAGGTAGAAACCAATACACCATGGCTTCAGTGGTTATGCTGTGACCAAGGCAAGGACTTCAGTATTGGGGCCTCTTTCTCTTCATCTCACCTGCAGTCTCACCAATATGGCTGCTTGAAGAGAGGACAGATTAGGAAGGATAGAAGAGAATGCTGTGGCATGACAGAATATTTGAATCATGTGTGTACACAGTACCCCAGTAGGCCACAGTGGATGTCAATCACATACTAAAATGCTTCCCAAGGTTTCCATATGCAAAAGATGACTCTATGCCCATTCGCTTCAAGACCCCATTCATGCAGCAGCTAAAAGGATTCAGGGCTTGTGTAATCAACAGTTAGTACAGACCCAGTGGCAACTGGAGATTCTTTCTCTTCCATTCATGGTAGCTTCCCTCAGTTTTTACTACTCTCAAGACAAACTTTTCCCATCCTAAGCCTTCCTTTCTGAAGAATAAGCCATCTCAACATCTTTAACATGGTGCCAGTTTTTCAATGCTTTCAATCAGTTTCATTGAGTTCTACTGAAGGCTAGCCAAGCTTCCATGCCAAGCATAAGCTGCATGACCCCCAAATGAAGAGGTTTAATGTAACACAGGACTCTTCTGTGGCTAGAACTAAATAAAATTAATGGATATTGGACTGTTTATCTAATGTCTTTAGCCTGTGTGTTTACTAAAATATTCATCCCAAGTGGACTGAAGGAGTTCTTTGCCCCTGCTAATTTAGCTTATCTGAATTGGTGATCAAAATGTCAGTGATCAATCCTTTGGCTAAATTCTGGAAGCTAGATGAACACTCAGGCAAGTGAAAGTCATGGTATGTAAAGCTTCTGTAAATATGAGGTTGACATGAGTGAGATTGGTGGGAAGTGTGGCAAGGCAGGCATTACCGGATGTGAGCATGCCCTGAAACACCAACATGAGTGTGATGGCAAAACAGAGATGCTCAATCCATGGAGCTGGGAATGTGGTGGATAAATAGAACCACTCTGATGACCAGAGATGGTCATATGAGATGTGATGGTATGGCAGGATTGAGAACTCTAAACTATTGCTTTATCAGTTGTACATTTCTGATGGACAAGCATGCAGACAATCAAAAACAAAGTGTGCACTGTCAGTCATAGAAGGGAGTGTGAAGAGGTCATTCTACATCACTACCTATCTTCATCCTTGCACAAAACAACATATTTACTGGAGTGGGGCATGTGACCTCCCCTAGTTCCCCTGATTGGCTGGCCTTTTTGGACCCCCTTATCAAGAAGGATCTTTTGGAGTCTGCTGTCTGGCCTCTGTTAACCAGTGCAGGAGTTGCCCTATTTGGGAACTGACATGGAAGTATTAGGAAACCTGGCACCCATGTATTCTCTCTCTGTTCAATCTGTCAGTGGCCAAATCTCTGCCATCATTTCATTCTGTATGCTCTTCAACTTGTTCCTAGCACACGAGGGCAGAAGAACAGATTTCACTTTCCCTAGGCCCCAAAGGAAGTTTCTTAGCTTCCTTGTCCCCAGTTCCCCCATCCGACCTGGTCATGCTCTCTTCACAAATGGCAGAGACAAATGAAAAGGGATTCCAATTACTCTGAGCAGGAGAGCCCAACCCTACCTAATTTCTTGGTTTTCATCTCCTAATGATCAATGAGCGCTAAGACTGTAGGTAAACTTCATTATTAAGAACCAACAAACAAAGTCATCACTGTACCAAAAAAAAAAAAAAGTGACATAGCTCCCATAGAGCTCCTCAGGTTCAAGGGCCCCCATGTTTTCTTTCTTTTTCAAAAATTACATTGTGTGTGTGTGTGTGTGTGTGTGTGTGTGTGTGTGTGTGTGTGTTACAGCAAGGTGTTCATACAGAGGTCAGAGAATAACTTTTGAGACTTGGCTCTCTTCTTCTAATATGTATGTGGGTTCTGGGGATTGAACTCAGGCTTTCAGGTTTGACAGCAAGAGCCTTAACACTGAGCCATCTCCCAGACTCTCAACTTCTGTTTTTCTGAGGATACTCTTCAGTTAGTATCAATAGCTGGGTCATGTTGGTAACTCCAAGTAAGGAGATGGCTCCAAGATGCCTTCTGACATTGCTCAGTTCTTATATTCAGGTTTTAAACATCTCTAGGAAAGATTCTAAGTCACCTCTCTAGAGATTAGACCTAGAACATCTCTAGGAAAAAACTGTAAGTCACCTCTCTAGAGATTAGACCTGGTATAAATGAGTACAGGTATTGTTCCTCAGTAGGTAGGAAAATAAACAAAATGTCAGAGGCTCTTTATCCTCATTTATAACCAAAAGTAACAGAGCCAACACACCTTACAAGTCTCTCCTCAGGACTAAATGACCCTAGACACTGCCTGTACATAGCCAGTGGCTTCTGTGTGGATTCAGGATCAGCTGGGACACACGGCAGTCACAAACCTTGCAGCATATCAGTGCTCTACCACAAGAAAGTACATTTCTTGCTCATATCAAGTCAACATTACTCTTTAGGGCCCCTGTCTTCCTCATTCAGATATTGGGGCCATTTACAATTACAAAATGAAGACTACCTGTGGATCCAGAGCAAGATAAGGGAATACGAGAGTCTCACTTACAGTTAAATATCCCTACATGAAAGCAGTATGTGTCACTTCTGTCCACAATTCCCCTCTTCCCTTTTAAGGATACAAGTAAAAGCTAATAATCTTTCTGGGACTATATAAAGTAGAGCAATTAGGAAAGACACTCCAAATCTGACATACTACTGAGAAAAAAAATGTAGAATCTAGCTCTGTGCTGCCAAGAAAGCATAATGTAGACAGGAAGTGTGCCTTTCAGAGAAGAAATCATACGGTGTCAGTTCCTGAGGACACTGCCAGCCATAGCCACCATGGTGAGAATACAAGCATCATAGCAAAGAAAGACCAGTACAGAATGTTAACTTGGTTTCTTTTTCTGTTCTGTTTGAGGCAGGGTCTCATAGAGGGTTGGTCTTGAACTTGCTGTGTATCCAAGGTTGACTTTAACTTCTTACCTCTCTGCCTCTGCCTCCATCACGTAGGATTACAAGTACTGGCCACCACACCTGTTTATGTGGTGCTAGGGATGGAATCCAGGGCTAAATGCCTGCAAAATAAGGACTCTACAAACAAAGCCCTGTCACTCAGTCTTATTTCAAACATCAAATAAACATCTGTATCATTCTTCTGGATTGTCTTTATGCAATACCCTATATTAATGTCTAGAAAGCTAATGCTGATTTTTCTCTCTATTAAAAGAGGGGAGCAGAGAAGACAGTTAATAGGCCTCAACTCAGCAGGCATCCTTTAACCCAACAACTATATGAGTTTTCCTGTTGCCTATGCTCCCAGAGGCCACTGAGCACCACTGAAGAGGTTGCCCCACAACATACTACCAACAGCCATCACTGGGCTCAGTGCCCTCCTCGGGTCAACTAGATCTTTTACTGCACTCTTCTTTTGAGTGTGCACCTTCACTTAATTAAGCCACTTTTTGATCAGCCACTATGACCAACTTCTAAAGAGTAGGAGGGAGATGGTTCAATCTGCAGCTTTTTAATTTAAGCAAGTATGTAGAAATGCTTCTCCTGACATCACAGATTTCACATCCACCTGCTTTCTTCTTTTTCCTCATGTGCCCATACTTCTGCCTCCCAACCCTCTTTTTCCCAGTAGACCCTTTTCTTGCTTTGATGAGGTCCAAACTGGCCCAGGTTTTCAGCAGAAATGACTCACAGCCCTAGGGTGAAGTCAGCAAATTCCCAAACACAAACCTGAAGTCAGCCTCTGATGGTGGGAGGGGGAGGGTGTGCTCAGTTATCAGATCATCTGATGAGGATGTCTCGGGCTTCATTTCTGTCCAGCATCCCACTGCAATTGCGAAGGTAGAGGCAGGCATTGGCATGGTCACATAGTAATGCCAGCTCATGTATCCTGTAAACAGAGAGCAACTGTCATCAGGTGCTATGTGGCTCTGACCCTACTCAATTCTAGTTCTTCTCTCAAGGCATTTCAGAGCCTGCGGGACAAACTGGCAATGCCTCATCTTTGACACAGGTCATGCCACCTGAAAAGGCATGACTTCAAACCTCAGAGAAAGCATAAGAGAGATGCTAGTTTGAAGGCAGCCAAGGAGTTCTGGGTCTCTTCTAGAGATCAGATTGAAGTCATCAGCAAGGCTAAGTGTACAGGGTAGTGGCCATTTAGCCACAAACACAGAAGAGCTCTGGCCTTTGGCTACCACAGATACAAGAACACAGCCTCTTTTTCTCCATGCCTGGCATGAAAAAGAAAACACAGCTGACATTTGATTTAAAAAAAATGAATAAATGAGGAATGATCACTTCTGTGCTGTAATCTAACTATTTTTTAAAATTCAATTAAAGTCATTCTAAGATGGATACAGTAGGAAAGCATGAAATTATGGAAAGGAAGTGCCTAGGTTTTGGTCCTGACTTTACAACCAATTAGCTGTGGAAATGTGGGTCTTACCCTCATCCTTCTATTTAGTTGATCACCCTCTACTCCCTGAGCTTATGCAAAGCAAAAGTAGAGAGTTCTTGGTACCAAAGATTCCCACCCCAGCTCAGAATGTATTCTCTACTTGGTCCAGACACTAGAGAAGGCTTTTCCCAAATAACTGATAATTTATAATCTTAGGTCTCTTTTACTTAAAAGATGAGGAAGTAAGCTTCCTGTTTCTGATATCTGAACACATCTTCTAATTTAGTATGACATACTTATCCAAGCATCTGCTATAAATTGATAGTTCATAGAATCAGGCATAGTAGTGAGTAGCCCGCCCATGGCTATATGGAAAGTTTAGCAAGTTTGAAAATAGCCTGGGATCTACATGAGACTTCATCTCAGTGTGTGTGTGTGTGTGCGCACACATGTCTAGTACCAACAGAGGTCAAAGGATAGTGTCAAATCCCTTGGAACTGCAGCTTCAGATGTGTGAGAGCCACCATGTGGGTGTTGGGAATCAAACTCAGGCCCTCTGCAAGAGCAACAAGTGCTTTTAACCACTGAGCCATCTCTCTAGCTCCTTACATGACTGTTTTTAGGTTTTTTGTTTTTTGTTTTTTTTTGAAAAGCTTTGACTTAAAAAGAAAAAAGAAATAGAAAAAAAGCCCAGGTCTAAATCCAAGAGTTAGTCATGACCTACAGTATTCTTTTGACAATTTACTATGAATTTGAGCTTTGCTTTTAAAAAAAAATCTAAACCCTAGGAGCTAGGGATATAGAACAGTTTTTAAGAATACTTGCCTTATACACATACACCTGTAATCTCTGCTCTTGGGAGATAGCGTCAGGGAGATCAGAAATTTAAGTTTGTCCTTGGCTACATACTAAGTTCAGACCAGCCTCGGCTACATAAGAACTCTGGAATCAGCCAAAGAGCAGCCATAGAGAGGCTTCAAGAGCAGAGGCCTGAATGCTAGAGATATGGATCTCTAGAGACGTGGATGCTAGAGATCTGTGATCAGCAGTGGTGAGGCTGACTAGTACACTCTCAACTGCCAGTCTGCTTCTTAAACTTCTCTTCCCGAGTCTTAACAAACCAAGGAGCTTCAAGGCACTTGCAGAAAGCCTAGAGTTCAAGTCTGAGAGAACAAAGCATAAAATACACCTGGAGGACAGTGAGCACACTCAGATGTTACCACCACCAGACACAAAACCTCAGAACTAAGAGAACGTGTTGCAGTCCTCCAAAATTTGTTCTCCACAATCATGTGGTTGGTTAAGAAAAGCTTGATGGGAACAAGAAAGACACAATAAAGAGATGAGAGAAGATATCGAGGTGAAATATAATAAAGGGATGAGAGAAGATACCGAGGTGAAATCTCTCCCAGATGGTCAAGCAAAATGTCAAATCGAACCAAGCCCAAAGAAAACAAAACAACAAAAATAAGGGAGAAGGAAAGTGTAGTTGAGAGGCCCAACACCCATGTAATAGACTTCATCCAAAACACAGCGGAGAAAGTAGGAGAGGACTGTCAGCTTACAACTTAGGGTATTGCCCCAAAAGGGAACATAGGACACTAGACAGAAAGGACACAAAGTACCTGAGACACAGAATAAGCCACTTATATCATGAGTAGTATGACACTGAAGCAGGAGAATAAAGACAAGACCCTACCTTTTCAGATACCAGAGCTTAAAATCACCCACTTCTTATACACCCATATTCTTCGGAAGCTACTTTACAGAAATATGCTCCAAAAAGAGGCCAGAGAGAAATGAGAATGCCTGCAGATTTCTTGCCCATGGAAGCCAATTAAGGATCCAGAGAGAGCCCTTCAAGGAGGTCAGGAGTCTAGGGCTGACAAACACATAGAAATCCAAGAAAATAGAGTGGGAAAACACCAAAGCACCATTATTAACTCCAAGTAGAAGGAACACACAGAAATAGAGCTTTTCTACAAGGCTCTGGCTCTTCACGCACACAAACTTGAAGTATTGATGCAACTCGTCTAATGTGACCTATAAGGAAAAGATAGGACACTGGGAAGGCCCAGCTTTGCATAACCAGCACCTTGTCAAGGGTGCAATTCGGGAAACACCAAGTAGCCAGGTTAAGGGTTAGAAGCAGCTATTTTGTTTATGTTTGCCCATAGATGAATGCTCAGAGACTGTGCTATATTGCTCAGCCTTCTTTTTGCTTTTTATTTTGAGACAGAACATCACTAAGTACCCAGGCTGGCCTTGAACTAGAGTTCTTTCTGCCTTGGGTTTCTGCCCAGAGTAGCTGGGGTTATAGGTATGTGCTAGAAGGCCTACCTGAAAGTGGTTATTTCTGAATCAGGGTACCAGTATAGTGAGAAGGAGAAGCAAGATGACTGCCCTTTGGGAAGAGAATATAATAGAAACAGCAATTATTTGGCACTTAAATAATGTATTTTAATGTAAAACAAAATTAAATCATTGAAGAGTAATCTCTTTTTTCTTTTTGACTGGCCTTCAACCCATGGCAACTGTTGTCTTAACTATATCCCAGGTCCTGAGATTGCAAAGGAGAATCATCACACGCAGAAAAATAACATTTTTCAGTCTTGAGGCACTGTTAAAGTGATAAAGTACAACTTCAAGTGGGAAGGAAAATCTAGAAATGAGGAATAGGCAGTAAGAACAACATGCTATGCCCACTAGGCCTCTCTGCCAGTGCTCACCATTGAGCTTTGGCCTGCTCTTTTACTATCTGTCTAGTTTTAGAGATGTCTGGGTTTTCAGGTACTGAAACTACTTCTAAGGTCACCAAGAATTAGAGGGCCAATCACATGACACTTCACCTAGCACTCAGGGTGAGGTCGCAAAGGCAGTACAGGACACAGAGGCACAGCAATAAGAGGAGTGGAGATACGTAGGAAAAGTTAGCAACTACAACACTATGGAATCTGAAGTGAGACAGTGAAAGCCATGGCAAACTTGCTGAGGTCTAGCAGAGACAGTGGGAGCCACCACTGCTCCCTCAAGGTCTTCTCTGAAGCTAAAAGAATGGAAAGAATGTTTGTTTGTTTGTTTGTTTGTTTGTTTAATGTGCTGAAAATCACATTATTTTTCTATTTCATTATTTTGGGTACCGAAGGAGCAGACTGAACATTTGTCCCACATGACAACAAGTGGCACGAGGACATCAGAATCTAAGTGTCTGTCTGTATTTGTAGTTGTGTCTGAAGAGCTGCAGACAGCTTTCTGTGGCATAGCTGTGAAGGCTCTGCATTTTCTCTTTCTGAGAGTTCACTTGGAAGAGACTATTTCATACCTCAGGCTTTTTCTCAGCCCCAAGTGGCATCACAGAGCACCCAAGCTGGTTGGCCCTTACGAATCTAGTTCTAAAGGCCTTGGGTGATTTATAGAACTTCTGGGAGCAGCTTCTCAAGAACCTCTATCCTGATCTTGAGCAATGTTCAAGCCAGCCCTGGACTATAGGGGAACTTCCTGTGTCCTGGGAAGAGCTTTTGGTTTGGACTATGGGAACATTTCTAGAATTCTCACCAGGAATTAAAACCTCTTCTGTGTTGCTCTTAGGTTAGTATATTGTGAATCTAGCTACATCCAGGGCAGTATTGTATAGGTAGCAGGGCTTATAGTCCAGAGAACCTGCTATTTGCAGTCAGCCTTCCTTGTAGACAGATCTGATGAGGGTTAATTTCTTTACAGTAAACCATGGGTCAGTGCTGGCTCTGGACATGTAGGGTCCAGTTCCTGCTATATGCCTGCTAGCTGGAGCATGTTCATGTCTTTGGATACCTCGTATATACTAGAGGAACAATCATAATGCCTACCTCACAGAATCATGTGAGGGATAAAGTGGATAAGCAAGTACAAGTCATGAACACAGTGCTGACCACAGTGCTTGTCTCTGTCATTGTCACTGGGCTGTCATCATTTGAACCACTCTGCTCTACAGCTGCCTCTCCTGGCCGGCCATTCAGGATGACTTTTCTGGAGGCAGAAGCAGGATGTTTGAAGGTATGGCTCCCACATGTGCCCTGAAACCATGACCTGATGAGGCCCACGTTTGGGGTTTAAGGTTGAATGGCATTCAAACGAAATGCAAACAAAGTGATCCATTTAAAGGACAGTGACAGCCCAAAGGGGGCATCCTGCATGACTTCATATAGAATGGGCCATTTGGAGACTATTTAAATGGTGTTTACTTTCAGTGAGCTGTCCTCCATGAAATAGACAGTGAATGCCTTCATTTTCCTTTTTATTCAATGCACTTGTACCCAACCCCCTCACAGGACCAGCTGCAAAACAAAGAGAACACACTGTACTTACATTAGCCCAAAGTTTTTCCTCTGTAGAAGCCAGAAGCCCATCACACCCCTGGATGACTTCATAGCCAGGCCTGGACTCATTAACAAGGCAGCAGAGATGGGGGCTATGGAGACACCAGAATTAATGGTGCTCCTTTTTCTCTGGCT